ACCAATTCCCCAATTAAACCCTTTATAAAACATTGCTCCTAAACAAAATTTCAAGGTAGTAGACCAGGAAGGCACCTGATCCTCAATAATAAATTCGTTTTGGGGTCCTCAATTGTGAAAAGTTTTTTCCACTGGAAAATTGCTCATGGAATCTTCCTCTACTTAGGAAGCCATGGAAGCTGAGGAAGCTGAAAGCTTGGGGCTTCTCTTGAGCTGAAGATCTGAGGCTGCAAAGCAAAAGGATAATGAATACTACAATCAATTACAAAAGATCCCTCACCAGGAATCCAGATTTGTTTTGGTGGTAATTTATTATAGAGGGACCCCTATTTGTTTGAGGGGGGGGACCCCCCCTTTACTAATCAGGATCCAACATTAGGCCACACGTGTGAAAAACTCTTGTAAACTGTAAGCCTTTGTTGGCCACTCTTGTGGGACATTCTTGTGTGACACTCTTGTAAAACACTGTTGTAGGATGTTGTAGGGACACTCTTGTAAGATACTTTTGTGGGACACTCTTGCACGGCACTCTTGTCAGGCACTCTGGGGGACATTTTCGACCACTCTTGTTGGACACTCTTTTCCGCAGCACCTTTGGAGGACACTCTTGTAGGGCACTGTAGTACGACACTCTTGCGGGGCATTTTTGTGGGACACTCTTGTAAGACATGCTTGTGGGGGACAAGCGCTCTTGTGAGACTTTTTTTTGGGATGCTGTTTAGCACATTTGGAGGACGCCGTCTTCAAAACAAGTGCTTTGCACAAGACTTCCTCAAAAAGTGACGCGACACGTCTGCAAAATGATAATTTTGTACGAGACTTCCTCCAAAAAGTCACACGTCAAGTCTCAAAAAACAAGCGATTCGCACGAGACCTTCAGCCTTTCGTACCCTCCAAAAGCGACCTGTCAAGTTTCTTCCCTCTGTTTCCTCTCTTTTTGTTCCAACCTTTTTTTGTTCCAACCCTTATTGTTTCTATTTTGTTATCTTGTTGTCTGTGTTTCTCGGCACATGTTCGCCAATGTGGCTCTTGTCTTCCACAACAAGCATTTCGTACGAGACCTCTTCCAAAAGTATCGCGTCGAGCACTTCGTCTAAGATTTCCTCCAAACGCGTCAAGCCTTCAAGCCTACCATTTCGCATGAGAGGCGGGAAGTCTCATCAGCTTGAGCGCATCACACTGCCTGCCAAGCAGCTTCATATGTTTCATGCAGTTTCTCAACCCAAGGCTATCGAACAAGCAGCCGCGGAAATCCGAAAGTGCTCGCCTGCAACAAAGAAGTGACTACGACACACCTTGACATGCCTAGAAAAGCTTGCGCCACATCAAGCGTTTGGAATGATTTCGGCCCATTGCGGCTTCACCCGCCGCACTTTTTGCTGATACCTATCACGAAAAGACAGCTTCAAGGCAAGCGCTTCAAGAGCAAATCCCACTGGTACAGCGACGTTCAACACCCCCTGAGAACGCCATTCCTAATGAAAGCGCAGACCTCACAAAACGCTGTGCCTGCGCAGCAAAATCAGCCATCACACTGGCAACCGTCACATTTCACCACGCGTACACTCCACATTGTTTGATTCACACAAATCGGACACGTCGTGCCTCCCTACAAGTCTTCCAAAAGCTTCCCCCAACAGCAGGAATTTTTCGCCGAATGCGGAGTCAACGCGACGAGCCCGGAGACACGAGACAACACGGAGCGAACACGGGTCCAGGCCCTCAGACTACAAACAGCAACCCCTTTCTACACATTTGGGGGGAAAGAACTACCATGGACCATGCACGAAGATATACGTTTGCTTCCAGCAGAAGAACCTTATAGTCATATGTTATGTTAAGTGATGTTAAATGTTGATTCGATTTGAGACCAGACTTGCTTAGACACACAGCAAATATTTCAACCCTTGTTAGTTTGAAATGGGGAAGGCGTGTGAGAGCTGCCTTTGTCACGAAGTCCCGATTTCGGACACGCTGCTATCGCTCACGATTCAGAAAAGTTCCTCTCAGAAAGCGAAGGTCATGCCTTGTGATACTGCCCATTGATACTGCCGGTGTTTAGCGCCATGTCACAGGAGGTTGGGGCAACAATTTAATTTGGTTCGTCTGAATCATTCGGACAACGGGCGCTTGTTTGGAAACGATCATCGAAGCCTGCTTTCCAAGGGGTAGATTGAAATCGTTCTCACAAATTCAGATGAAGATCGAATCTGCGTGACTTCTGTCCCCCCCTAGTTAACCCGAGCCAACAAAGCCGCCGGAAATTGCCCAAATTAAAAGTATTATTGGCTGTTGATTTCCCCCCCTATGGTCTAGTTTTCTACCAACAATCCCCCCCAGTTAATCCGAGCCCACAACCAGGTCAATTTTTCGTACTACTACGACTATGACGACTACTACTACTACTACTACTACTACTGCTACTGCTACTGCTACTGCTACTGCTACTGCTGCTGCTGCTGCTGCTACTGCTACTGCTACTGCTACTGCTACTGCTACTGCTACTGCTGCTGCTGCTACTACTACTACTACTCCTCCTACTCCTACTCCTACTCCTACTGCTACTGCTACTGCTACTGCTACTGCTGCTACTACTACTACTCCTCCTCCGCCTCCTGCTGCTGCTGCTGCTACTGCTACTGCTACTACTACTCGCTTGTTGCTGCTGCTGCGGCTGCGGCTGCAATTAAAAACAATCATTTGACAAGCTCACAAAGGGTACCCCTCACAAGGGCCGGTCCCCCATCAATAATCTGCACTACTACCCCCTATTAAATTGATCCTGTGTCCCTGGCCTTTCCTTTGTGCTTGTTTAAACTTTTTGTGACTACTACCTACTCCTACTATCTACTACCTACTACCTACTACCTACTACTACCTACTACCTACTACCTACTACCGACGACGACTGCGACTACGATGGCTCCCTTGACCGATAATTCAGGGGGGGTGGACCTCATGAGTGGTATCTCAGACCTTGTTGACCTTGTTGACCTACCATGTGGGGGGGGGTCATTAATTCGGTCTTGGCATTACACATGTTCTTACCTCGTTATTCTTCCTTGGAGTCCAAGTTGCGCGTGAGTCAAAGCCGGGACGGGTTAAATGGCGTCACAAGGGCGGGCCAACCAGCAACCCAGCATCCAGCCCAATAGAAAATCAACGCGCGCCATGTCTGCGAACTTGCAAGACTGATTTGCCAAGGTGCCCCTGGTAGGCTTCCTCCTGCAGGCACACTGCTCAAAGGGTCTAGACACTGACTCTGACCACAATGTTCAGCCACTTGTGAAAGTGTAAAAGTTTGACGACTTGAAATTCCCCACGAATTATCATTTGATACTTGGCCTTTTCCATTCAAGGGTCGGGAAGCTTGCAGCCACAGCTTACCACCGTCGCATTGCCGGATGTGATATCTAAATATTAATAACCCATATGCGCCGCGCACCCCTCCCTGATTCACTGATCAATAATATTGGAATTATGTGGTTCTCTACGTTATTCAATCTCCCTGACCTTCAAACGACCACGTCAGTCACAGTCGATCATTTTTTGGCTTGGTCGACTTTTTTTGGCGTGGTCGACGTTTTTTTGGCCATCGTCGCTTTTTTGGCTTTTTGCCTCCGCAACCAAAAAAGGAAAAAAAAAGATCACACTGGCTGTGAAATTGATTGACGGTATTTTGGCAGGGGTTGACCGTATTTTGGCAGGGGTTGACCGTAATTTGGCGGGGGTTGACCGTATTTTGGCAAGGGCGCTTTTCAGGGTGAATTCTGCAAACTATGAGGGAAGGAAAATTGAACACGGATCTTGCTTTCATGTTGGATTGGAGCTATTTTGGTCTGGAGATGAATTACCATGTATTACGATTCAGCACCATACACTATAAATGCTTGACAAGCTTTAAATGGTTATACCTTTGTCCAGCTTTCTGGCCAATTTCTACTACGATGATTGGCAAACACTCATGTTTGAACCTTTTGTTGTCGTGACTTGCTTGGCTCAAAGGGGTACCGACCAAGTGCACTGGTCACGGGGCTTGTGCTTTGACTTCTCAAGGCTGCAATGCCGGGAATGGCCTTGCAGGGACTGGCCAACTCACGTGACTTCTGATCAGGGTGGAGGAGGCCCAACTGGACGTGCCTGGGGGTTGTCCACTCAGCTCCACACTGCTTCATATAAAGATATTTGTAAGGCATATATATGTAAACAATGGTTTTTCAATCAATTTTTTGATTTTTTTAGGTTTTTTGTTCACGTTGCTCGACGGTATTTTGGCAGGGGTCGACGGTATTTTGGCAGGGGTCGACGGTATTTTGGCAGGGGTCGACGGTATTTTGGCAAGCTCTAGGTTTTCGTGCTCGTGCGATATACTTTCTTTTAGTCAAATTTTGCAAAAAACGTGCGTTTTTGATAAAACGCGCGGAAAAAGCATACGCTTTTTGGGTTCCGGCAGGGCCAGAAAAGTAAAAATTAAGGGAACTCATGATCATCAGCAAAAAGCGTACGCTTTTTTGGTTCCGGCCGAACAAAATTGTAGCCGGAAAGGAGAAAAGAAAAGAATGAGAGCAAATCTGTCTAGAGAAAAATAAAATTTGAAGGAGAAATGCAAAAAGCGTACGCTTTTTTGGTTCCGGCAGAACAAAAGGTACGTGGAAGGGAAAAAGAAAAGGAACGAGAGCCTAGAGAAAGGGAATAATTTGAGGAGAAAGGCAAAAAGCGTACGCTTTTTTGGTTCCGGCAGAACAAAATGCACCCGGAAAGGGAAAAAGAAAAGGAATGAAAGCAAATTGATCTAGAGAAAGCGAATAATTTGAGGAGAGAGGCAAAAACGTACGCTTTTTGGGCTCCGGCCTAAAAAATTTAGACACGCGGCAAGGCGCATGCTAGGAAAACGCGCGCAGAAAGCCCAGAGATATAGCTATCCATATCATATAGCTAGGGCCAGCCTAAAAAAGTGTACACGCCAAAAAATGGACAACGACGTTTTTTTCGGCGCGCCCGACGTTAAAAAAACAGGGGTCGTCTAAAAAACGGCGTGGTCGACGTTTTTTTGGCTCACCGACGTTTTTTCGGCAAGTTTTGACCAACGACCGCGCCACACACAGACATTGGAAGGTCAGGGTCTGCGCACCCCAGATATGTATATATACCTGAGAAAGGAGATCGAAAGCCAGCGAGAGACCAATATGGTAGCGCAAGACTGGGAGGAAAAAATGGCGGAGCACTTATTGTTGAACGCCTGTAGCTTTCGTGGAGCTGGTATCACTGCGACGTAGATGAAGATCGGGGCACAGCATGAAGTGTTGAATGTTTTAGTCTTCTTGATTTGCTTGGTGCGGCGCCTTCTGGAGCGTCCCTTGTTGGTGTTCTATTTGAGAATCCATGCAAAAATAAGCGTCAGTGAACACCAGGAGAATGATGCCCGAAATGGTTTTTGTGGTTGCGTTGAACTGTGTTTCGGGTATCGTGCATCAATGCGAAGCCCTATAGAGAGAGCAGGGCTGGGATGAACAAATAGCAGAGCACCTATAGTTGAAAGCTTGTAGTTTCGTGGAGCTGGTATCACTGCGACTGAGATCAAGATCGGAGCACAGCATGAAGCGTTGAACGCTTGCAGCTTTCTTGCTTCTCCTCTTGCGGCGCTCTTATCCCCAAGCCTCTACCTCGCCCAACTGGACACGCTCACGTCGTTCGCTCCCAGAGCGTTCACTCTTTGTTGCTTGGTCCTTCTTGGTATGATCAGAGCTACACATTCCCTATGCCCTGCTCAGGACTAGAAAAATTGTCTCCAGACCCCTTCACACTGCTTTTCTGACCCTCGCTTTGGAGCACTCTCCCCCACCAAGCTCCGGGTTCACCCTCTCAAATGTTGCCTTTTCGCGCCCCCCCCCCCACACCCCCGTAACTCACTTCGTTCGCTCCAAGAGCTCAAGCCTAGCCTATCGGCTGGCTTTCGTAATATTCTATATTTATATCTGACATATATTATTTACTATGTGTACATATATATATTACGCCTGAGAAGGGAGGGGACGAAAGCCAGCGCAGCGCAGCGCAGCGGAACCGGGTCCCTGACATGGTACAGAGTAGTGGGTGTGTGACCATGCAAGACAAGACTGCGCGAGTTGCTTTTTTAATCCGGCTAATGGCCCTGTAGCCCCAAAAACGGGGCACACACATGCAACTCGAAGGTTCCTCACTACATTCTATTTCCTCTCCAGGAGATCCCATATCAAGACGCAGGAGTAAAGATCAAGCCAGAAAATATCCTTCTGACTTTTTCGAACGCTATCTCTATGAGAAAGAGATTCTACCTTGCACAGAGTCTCGCCGCTTCTGTCCTCTAACCGGATGGACACACCCGTGAGCCCGGTGAACACCCTTGCGACGAACCTAGCAGGTGGTGGGTGATCTGGTTCCACTGGCCGCCTGGGGGAGCAGGTGGTGGAACTGGGATGTTGCTGAAACGCCTAGCAAGAGAGCCTTTTGTCGGCGGGGTGAGCCCAGCACTTGAGGCCGATTGGCCACCAATTCCTTTGTCCACTCAACCTCTGACTCCTCCTCTGCAACCTCCCCTACAGTGCCCTCTGCGCTGGATGGTGGGTCGACCTTCTTCCTCTTTGCTTTCTTCCCCTCCTTGCGCCCATGTTTCTTCTTCTTCTTCTTCTTCTTCTCAACAGCCTCACCCTCATTCGCCTCCTCACCAGCCGCCAAGCGAAGAGTCCCAAGGGCTCTTTCTTGCGCGCGCGCGCTCCCGCTGCCAACTCAGCTAAATCCTGGAGCACCCCCCCCCGTCGCTGTCCGCCGCTGTCCGAATAGTACAGTTTCCTGTCCCGAAATAGAAGCTCCGCGCACAAGATCTCTGATTCTATGGACCGTCCGACACGCAATGCACGGAGAGCGCTGGAATAGGCCGCACTCAGTCAGCGCAATTCATGCGCCAGGATACTGAAGCCGAAACACTAGAGAAACGTAGACACGAGCACGCATCTTATGCTTGTACCCCATAGGCGGAAGTGCTTGTACGTGAGCACGTGAGCCAGGTACCTTTAATTCGAAGCGAATGCAACATCAATCAAATCCATGAGTCCATGCCACCACATACCACTTCCAGTGGATCTGCGAGGAGTTGTTAAATGATCCCAACAATTACAGTAAGTGCAATGACTTGCTGGGCGCACCTTTAAAAAATAGTTGCCTACGCTCATACTCCGAGTGTTTTTTAAAGGAAGCTCCCGCTCCCAGGCTAGGGGAAAAGAGTTTCCTTGAAGAAGCGTGAATTCTCTGCGTCCAGTAGATCGTTGTTAATTTGCTTGGCCATTACTTAATTAAGTAGCCACCTAGTAGCAGCCATCTACTCAATTAAGTAAGGGCGAGCGCAAAACGGGCCCCCAAAATGATAAGAGACACAAATTCTGTCCTCTTGGGTGCAAAGCCCGCCCACACCAGGAGCATGCGGTTGATTGTGCACTGCTTCGCCGCCACCAACCTTGAAACAAGCGACCAAACAAAAAAAGGAGACGAGTGTTAGCGGCTAGGTCTAGGCGTCATGTATTGTTCTTGAAGTCAAGTGAAGCTAGTTGACGCGCTGAGTAGCAAAAATGCAAAAAATATCAACCAGATTCCACACCAATTTTGTTGTTTGCTTCAGCGCGCTGTTCTGACACTCAAGCCCAAAGTTTTGTCAATGTTTTTCCCCGCCTGTCAGGAGGGTTGTTAGATTTTTACCGTGGTTCGCTCCCCTCCTTCTTCTCCTCCGCTCCTCCTCCGTGGGCACTACCGGACCTCAACCAACTACTACCCGACCTCAACAGCGAGTGCCAGATCGCAGTGGGCACTACCGGACCTCGACACAACTGCAAACACACAACAAACAACAACAACAACAACAACAACAACAACAACAACAACAACAACAA